CGAGCACGGAACATCAACGCATTTGACACCACTAAAATGGACACTTTAAAACGTTCAAGGGGGCGCCGTGGCGCCTCAGTCAGTTGAGCGTCCGACTTCAGCTCAGGTCACGATCTCAGGACTCAAGGGATCAAGCCCCGCGTCAGGCTCTGTGCTGACAGCTCGGAGCCTGGAGGCTGCTTCCGATTCTGTGTCTCCCTCTCTCTCTGTCCCTCCCCCACTCATGCTCTGTGTCCCTCTCTCTCTCTCTCTCTCTCTCTCTCAAAATTAAACATTAAAAAATGTTTAATACATTTTAAATAATAAATAAAAATAAAATGGTCAACAGAGTGAACTTGATATCACGTACATTTTACTACAATAAAAGAACCCTAACAAAAAGTCAAACCAAAAGTCCACGTACGCGACAACAACCCACGTCTGCACGTGCACGTGTCTGCCGCACAGCGGGAACAGTCCTCGTGAAAACGCAGGGTTGGTACGTACGTGAACGGTAACGGGTGTATCTTTATGGAGGGAACTCTTGCTTACAGGGTCTAAACTCCATTCTGGAAAGGACGAACGACTTCATCGCCCATGATCTTCTGAAAGACCACATCTTGGAGAAGCTTCGGGGCCTTGTCGTCAGTGCATAAGGACCGTCTGGCCCCCTCAAGTCTGGACCTTAGAAGAACCACCTGCTTAAATGGCCCGCGATGAAGTCACTCACCGAGGCCCGAGGCCCGGCCAGGGCAGCGCCCCGAGAGCTGGGCCATCCTCGCCACTCTGTGCCGGGCCTTTATCCGGGCCATGCACACACGCTTCCCGCTTGTCACACGAGAAAACTCCCCCTCCCGGGGCATCTGCCTGCTGTCCACTCACGGTGGCCTCTGCAGGGAGCAGGTGGCCCGGGACTCCACCCCTCCCCCAGCCACGGGCAAAGAGCCTTCCTGCTCCCATATTAACGAACGCTGGCTGAGCGAGTGAGACTCCCGTGGGACCTCAGGACGCCCTCAGGCAGGGGTCTCAGATCTGGCACCAGGGACGGACTCCCTAGTAGAGTCCCTAGTAGAGAAAGCATGCACGTGGTGTCAGAGACCCCGCAAAATCCCCCCAGCGCCCGAGCGCGTCAGCCGTGGTGGAGAAGTGACAACAGGCCGCAGCCGGGCCCTGAGGCACCGGCTTCTGTCCGCACCGTCTGTCACACACCTCGGAGCTCGTCTGGCGCTGCCTTTGACAAAGACGTGAAGGCTGGTCACCCGCTCTTCCCGTTACCAGTGGCTCGCGGTCGCCCGCAGCCTAAGCAAAGCAGCCCTTTGCAGCCGGACTGCAACCCCCCAGGGCACAGCTGTTGGGTTCCCAACCCCAGGACCTTAGACCGTAAGCTCATCTGCAGACAGGGTCTTTGCGGATGTGATCATTAAAATGAGGTCACGGGGTGGGCCCTCAGGCAACATGACGTGTCCCCACGGAAAGAGAGAAGGCCGTGTGAGGATGGATGCAGGTCGGGACGGGAGCACCGCAGGCTGACCCTGGGGGAGGCGTCTGGGGCAGGCCGGGCCCGCGCCCGCAGCCTCCAGGACCGAGTGTGGCCGCCTGGCCTGTGGTGCTTTGACCCGGCGGCCCCGGCAGGCTGACGTGGTGGCTACGGTGACCATGACTTGGCGAGGATACGAATCCCTCGTTGTCAAGTAGGAGGAAAGCACTCAGTCTCCTCCCCCGACTGTGACAGGCCACCCTCCTCTTCCAGAGCCCGGTCCTCACCTGTCACCTCCTAGGGCAAGTATGATCAGAGAACCTTCCCGCCCCCTGCCCTTTGCCGGCCACCCCCCGCCCCCAACGCGAGCTCACAGCCTCCTGACGACTCGCGCTGTCGCCACTCTCCCGCCCTGACCGTCTGCTCCCACTGTCCCCTTCTTGCCAGGTGGCACCGCCATTCACTCAGGTCCACACCAAAGCCTCTTGCCCCGCTCCTACGTCCGCTCCGCCGGCCAGCCCTGAGCACTGAGCCACAGCTGACAGCCGTGTTGCCTCCCCTCCGCCCCCCCCCCGCTGGATGCTCAACCATCTCCGGCCATCGCCGCGTGTCCCCTGGGGGCCAACCGTCCCCGGTGGAGAACCTCCTCTCCATCTCGCGCTGATGCCCTTCAGCCACACCTCCGAGACACGTCGCCTGGCGGGCACCACTTGGGAGCAACCCCAGCAAATGACTGCAGCCCTGACAGTGAGGGTCTGAGGCAAGGGAGGAGGCCGCAGGGATAGGCACGTCACCTGTGGGTGGGCCTGGTGGCCAACACTCACACCCACGGCCCCGCTCCACAACCGTGACCTCGAGAGTAAGCAAAGTGGATGAGGGCCACAGGACTGTTGCACGTCAACTGGGAACGACAGCCTTTCAAATGAAAACTGCCCAAGCCGGCTACGATGGGCAGACCCACAGCCAAACTCTGTCAGCGGCGGGCACGTGAGCTGTCACGACAAGGCCACAGCCACCCAACGGGGCCTCCTCCACCCAACAAAGCCGTAGCCACTCAACAATGCCATCTGGAATTTCCATAATCCCATTTCCAAAAACTGTACTCAACAAACAATGCCACACACAGGGGGAAAAGGCCACGTACAAATGTGTTGGTGTGGCATTATTTTCAACTTTGAAGAAAACCACAAACATCTCAGTTGTCCCGTCATGAGGGACAGTGTTGAGAAAACTTCAACGTAGGGTCACACACCCAGCCGAGTGAGGTCCGTGAAAAGCACAAGTACGCGATATAAAATGGCATCTATGACACGAATGCGTGGGGAGAGGGGGCAGCTGGGTGGAGGGGGGCCACGTATGACTGTTACTCCTTCTTTCTGCTTCTGAACCTTTCAAACTTTCTTTAAAAGGTATGCATTACTTGGGGCACCTGGGTGGCTCAGTCAATCGAGCGTACAACTTCGGCTCAGGTCACGATCTCACAGTCCGTGAGTTTGAGCCTCGAGTCTGGCTCTGTGCTGACGGCTCAGAGCCTGAAGCCTTGCTTCCGACTGATTCCGTGTCTCCCTCCACCGCTCGCACTGTGTCTCTCTCTCAAAAATAAACATTAAAAAAAAAAAATTGTTTTAAAAGTGGGCCTTACTCGAAAATGTTTAACAGGTTGTTTTAATTTTCTTAAGTTTGTTTATTTTCAGAGAGAGAGAGGACAAGGGTGGGACAGGAGCAGACGGGAGGAGAGAGAGTCCCAAGCAGGCTCCATGCTCTCAGCACAGAACCTGACGAGGGGCCAGAACCCACGAACAGTGAGATCATGACCTGAGATCAACAGTCAGATGACTGAGCCACCCAGGTGCCCCTAACAGACTGTTTTAAAGGAAAGAAAGGAATTCCTTTGGGTCGGGGCTAAGGGTCACAGGAGGCCCGGGGGGGGGGGGGGGGGGCTCAGAGAGGCTTAAGAGCAAACCTGAGCTTCCTCAGGTCATGAGGTCACCGTTCAGGAGTTCGAGCCCCGCATGGGGCTCTGCACGGACAGCGTGGAGCCTGCTTGGGATTCATCTCTCCTTCTCTCTCTACCGCTGCCTGGTTTGCTCACTCTCTCTCCCCCTCTCTCAAAAAATAAACATTTTAAAAAATTTAAAAAAAAAAAAAAAAAAAAAAACCAGACCTGAGTCTGACCCCAGGGTTCTATCGACCCTGTGAGACTAGGGCAGGGACAGTTAAGTTAGGTTGTGAGCAAGGGGCCCAGAGGAGGACCCTCAGGTGCCCCCCGGAGAGGGTTCAGGGTGGGAAGCCACAGGAAGGAGCCTGCCACGGAAGGGCAGGTCGCCAAGGGGCTCGGGAACCCCCTCCCGCTCCGAGCCCGTCCTCCCACCGATGGACCAGGAAGAGGTGAGGGAGACCGTTCACGGAGGAATGAGCCAGGGGGTGGCAGGGTCGCTCCTCAGAAGAGAGGCGTGGGTCGTGTGCACTTCCCCACGCTGCATGCGCCTAAGGGGCGTTTCCCTCTGCGGGCGCCCACCACCTCCCAGAGGCAGACCGCTGCAGAATCAAGCGTCACATGCACTTCAGACCTACGTCCTTTCATCCCAAATGTCAACGCACCCATAACGACACCTGGTCCCCGTCTCTGTCCCCCTGGTTGAAAACTCAGTGGGCCCCGAAGGGGCGCCTGGGGGCTCAGTCGGTTGAGCGGCCGACTTCGCCTCGGGTCATGACCTCACAGTTCCCGGGTTCGAGCCGCGCATCGGGCTCCGCGCTGACAGCTCGGAGCCTGGAGCCTGCTTCGGATCCTGTGTCTCCCTCTTTCTCTGCCCCTCTCCCACTTGGGCTCCCGCTCTCTCTCTCTCTCTCTCTCTCTCTCTCTCCCTCCCTCCCTCAAAAATAAATAAATGTGAAAAAAGAAAACTGTCAGTGGGCCCCGTAGGCCATCTTCCCAGTCAGTTCTCCCTAAGGCGCTGTGCCTAGCAGACCCCGAACCGCTGGGAGGGCAGGAGGGCAGGGAGGTGGTGGCTGGGACCTCGGAGCAGGAGAATGAATCAGGTGAGGTCAGCCTCCGGGACTGGGCCCTGGAAGAGCCGCGGGGCACTCTCCTGAGCTCAAGCTCCAGCAGGTGGGCCCAGCACCCCTGTGCGGGGAGGGGGACACCGGGCGCCACTGACCTTCTCCAGCTTCTCGAAGTGCTCCCGCAGGAACTTCATGGGCCTGTCCGGCTTGGACACACACAGGTGCACGATGCAGTCCTTCAGGACCTGCTGAACACCATGCTTCTGCACATACAGCTCGCACCCCTTCAGGCTCTCGTCCTCCTCCGCCGCCGGGCAAGAGGACGGGGACGCCATGGTGGCCCCACTTCTGGCCTCCTGGGGAAGAAAACCCAGGCCACTGTACACATGCATCTGAAAGGCACCTGGGGTGTGTCGATGTCAAATCCAACAACCCCACGACGGGCGGACGTGTCCCCCCCCCCCCCCCTGTCACAGGTCTTCCTTCTCAGGGGCTGGATGAGTCGGCAACACAAAGCCTTACCGCGAAGATCTTTGTGGGCATGGGAGAGGATCGACCAGATTTTGTAGATGAGCAAACCCCTGGTCTCCGAGAAACCTGAAGGCGGAAAGTGGGGGCCCTGGGAACCTGAGTGGCGACCATCCCTCCCCCCTTTGTAGGGACAGCTGTGTGAACCGGGGAGATGAAGGGGTGCTGCTACGGGGTCGAGAAGCCTGCTTTGCAGGAACAGAAGGAAAACAGTTGAAAGCCAGCTGAGGGGCCTTCTGGAAGGATGGAACATGGGGAACAATGGCAGGGCCGCGCAGTTCTCAGCCAGGCGCTGGGGGCTAAGTCACAATGACAGGTCAGGAACTGGGGCTGCACAGCTCCCGCCAGCCGCCCCCCCCCC